TCTCTCTCTCTCTCTCTCTCTCTCTCTCTCTCTCTCTCTCTCTCTCTCTCCTCCCTCCCTCCTTCTACCCGCCCCTCCATGGCACAGTGAAGAGGGCAGGCGCCAGAAGAAGAAAGCAGGATGGAGGGGTCTATTAGCAGAGAGGAGTCTCTTTGCAGGTAGGGACAAACTTTCCAGAGCACTGGGTGGACGGACCGTACTGTTGTTCTACACAGCAAACCCGAAATTCTCAGAGGTGGTTACTGAACACTGGGAGCCCTGTGAACCAGGTTAGGGGCAGGGCCAAGCAGACCACGCAGTTGACAGAGTTGGGGTTTCTGGGACCAGCCTGGAGATACTTCTAACACAAAGAAGAGGGAGAAGAGCAGGAGTGTCTCTCTTCACAAAGGGAAAGTGGAAATGGTACCAGGACACAAGGGAAGAACAAACTCACGTTTCACATTTTAGATTTCTTAGCTCCAGCCAGCCTGAGTGCATGCGGGCCCAAGTGTACACATAAACAGATGCACACAAACAGGTGTGCTCTCCTTGGCATATGGATACCACGAAGCCCTGGTTCTGAGCTAGCTTGTCTGACCTCAGCCCTCCTGCCTCCAGAGAGCATCCCTGGCTGTGTTTTCCAACATGTCTCCACCCGGCCTCATGATATCTGCTGTCACCTATGAGTTCTTTCTCCAGGGGCCTCACCTGAGGCCTCACTAAGGCAAGATGCTAAATGCCAGCTACAGGATGGACAGGAAGATGACGCGCGCCGATGTGTGCACACGTCTCCACATGAGCATCTCAGGAACATCAGTACATCAATTCCCATCTCCGCCCTTCTCACCTACAGGCGGAGCTACATCAAGATGAGAAAGAGCCTCAGCGCGAACGAACGAACGAACGAACGAACGAACGAACGAACGAACGAACGAACGAACGAACGAACGAACGAATCAGGACAAACAGCTCATCCCTCCAAACCCAAAGCTCGGAGATGTCACTCTCAAGCTCAGAAGCAGCACACCACCGAGCTCAGCTCTCCATCTTGCTAACAATGTCGTGCCTGCTAAGTGTCACTGGGACAGCTTTCCCTCTGCTCCAAGCGAAATATTGCCACAAGCCCGAGGCGCGTACCCATAAGAGCTGTTCTTGCTTTGGAGAGCCACAGCAGGCCCCAGAGGGCTCTTCACTCAATGTCAGCCCATGTGTCGTCGGCAAGGCTCAGCCGTGTGGTTCAAGAATAAGATCGCATGGACTCTGGGAAGGAAAAAGTGCTCCTTACCCGGCACCAGGCCCGTGAACTCAACTCCACAGGCAGCGAACCATATCCAGGGCCAGTGAAGGGGAACGCCTTCCACTCACCAATTTGTGCCTGAGATGGACGGTGATCAGAGGAGAGCCTGAGAGGTTCTGGGACAGAGTGGGCGGCGGGGACACCTCCAGGGAGATCAGGTGGCTGGCGACAGACAGAAGGCAATCTCTGCAGTTCATGGCCTCGGGAATCCTGGGAAATGAGAGGAAACGGGTTACAGGCAGGGATGGAGGGAGGAGGATGTGCCGCTAGACCGTGACCCTGAAGCCGCGAGTTCTGAGACCAGTATTTGAGGCTGCATCTGGAAACGGCCTTGGCTGCTAAACATCACAATTCTGTCCCTTGGTTCTGCCCTCTTAGAAGTGGTCAACGTGGTCCGGAGGTGAGGACCTCAAAATACACCAGGGAATTTGGGAAAAACATACCCTTGATCTCAGTGCATTTGCATGCCTGGCTGTATAACCTCAAGCACTCACTCACCCTTGTCAACCTGCCCCTAGGACACAAACCACAAACATGTGGTCAGTACTTGGGTGGTGGGGTCTATTGTCTCCTTGCTCCTGTCCAATCCTTTCCTCACGAAGGTGCCTCAGTTTCCCCAGGTCATTCGGTTGGCCAGTCTTTCTCCACTCAGCCACACACTCAGAGCTGAGTCCATGGCTCAAGAGCTCACCCCGCCACCTCCAGCTCTGTTGGTCAGCACAGCACACTGCTCAACCACGTGACAGCTCGGGGATGAGGTCGTGTGCGCATGCCAGGGACATTCCAGGAGAGAGAGTCCCACTTCTCTCTGCTGGGTGTCCGCTCTAAAGGACAGGGTCTCCCTGGCTTAAAACCGTAAGGGGACTGCCGGACAGAGAAGGGAGCCCACCCTGGGAAGAGCCTAGAGATGGGATCTGGTAGCTACACCAGGGCAGCTGGGTCACGCTGCTCCTGAAGCCAGATGCTCGCATTATTCAACTTATATTATTACATGATTACCTTATTCAGCTTACATTATTCAACAAGTTCCCCATTTGCTTAAAACCGTTCAGACTAGATTTCCCTGCCTCACCCCAGCCCACAGCCACCCCTTAACATCTCCTAATCCTTAGTCTTGGAGTTCTGAGGTTGAAATGCTGTTCATAGCCAAAGTCAGGGACAGTGCTGTGAGATATCTGGTGTGCAGAAGTTTGGCTCATGGACTGATGAGCTTGGCATGTGGATGATCCCGGGGTGAGTTTAATTATGTACCTGAGCTTCCTGCTCCTCTCACACCAACTGTGGAGGAGGGAATGGAAAGAGAGAGAAGGAGGGAAGAAATCTTCCCAAGGGAAACAAATCTGAAAGGCTGGTCTGCTGCCTTCCCATTCTACAGATGTAGAAAGTGAGGCTCAGAGAGCTTCGTTCATGGCTCCCAGATCACTGTCAGCCCAGGGGGCGCTGAGGTCTCTCGCTTGTGCCTCTGAGCATAGCTAGCCAATCTGCCCCAGAGCCTGCTGGATCCCACTGAAGGAATTCTTGAGTCTTTTCCAAATGGCTAGAAACCCAACCTGGCTTGGACAGCAAGGCAGCAGGTGTTAGCAGCAAGAGTTTTCTAGCACGCTTGTGTGCGGCAGTGTAGGGTGTCATCGTGGTTGGCCATCCAAGAAACAAGTACATACACACATCCCGCACACCACTGTACGACACTTACTTTGTGCTGGCTGGGGGGATGTTGTTCAGGTAATAGTGCATGGAGTGGTAGAGGAGGCCGACAATCGTGGTCCAGGCTGAGGACAAAGCAGAGGTCAGACACCCGTCAACACCCAGTTACAAGCAGGAAGTGTGTAGAACCACGCACACAGCGGGGCTGAAGACAGTGACTTGGTGGACTCGGGCTGGGGGGCGGGGGTTGGAAGAGCCACGGAATGATGAAATTTACAGCAGCGTGGACACCGCGGCTAGCCCTGTGCTCGGCCGGGACAATGACCTCCTGCCCTGTCCCCTGTGTCCACCCCAGACACAGGTGCCGAGGCCTACCCAAGACACCACAGAGCCTCAGGAGCAGGGGGCTCTTCGTGGGCTACCAGTTGCCCGGCACTGAGTGTGTCTCAGTCAGTCTGCAGGATATGCTGATACTCAGATGCAGGTCTGCAGACTAGCAGACACCCAGATGGCTGCAATGCGTCCCCTGCCCGTTGTTAGTACAGTGAGAACCACGTACTCAACTCTTTTCTCACTCCAGAACTGTGAGACCACTCAGCCATTGTTGGCTGATTCTCTGAGCTCTCCCTGATGTTAATTCAGGACTCACTATACACCAGGCATGGTGATCTGTACACACTTGGCCTTGTAAAGTCTGAAACGATATCACGAACCAGGTATTATGATTGTCCTGGCACAGATGTGATCAGCGACTTGCCCAAGGTCACACAGCCAGCAGCGTGGCGAAGCTGGGGTTCTAACCACAGAATCTGGGTTGGTGGATGGAAAGTGTTGAGAACGTGGCCTCTGGCCATTCCGGAAACCTGGGTTATTTCTAATATGTCCCGCAGTGGGACCTGGGAGGATATAAGACCCTATGCAAGGCTGCTAAGTGGTGCCTCTCTCCTGATAGCAAGATACACTGAGTCTTTGCCAGGAGAAGATGGATGTCATGGGCACCTGTCCTCCAGACCAAGAGATGGATCCTTGCTGTGGGAGGGGCTGTGTGGCAGGGCTGGGTCTCTGTCCCGTGAGGATCCACACCAATCCACAACTGTGAGTGGACACAAGAGGAAAGAATCTGCAAAGAGGATGCCATCCAGATACGGCCAAAGTCACCTGGGCCACATCCATCAGATGCCCTTGGCTACTCACTCACAATGAGACTTGACTTGGGCCTGTCCTGGGATAGTTTCTGGCTCTCCTGTACAGACATACCCATCTGTGGCGACCTTGAACAAGGAGGGGAGGTGCCCCATCTATTCACATTCAACTAACCAGGAGCCGAGCCGATTGGGGGGCACACATAACATCCTGGGTCACCGTGGGTCAGACTCACAGGAACGTAGTTTTGCAGAACCTCCCTCCGAGGTCCAGCTCAGTCTACAGTGTGTTGTGGGATGAGGTGGTAAGGCATGCTTGGCCTCGGAGTCCTCTCTGGGAGCACCTGACCCCACTGTCCCGTGGGGCAGCTCCATCAGGGAGGGACAGTCACCCAGACTGGACCACCTGAGAGCCTGGGCAACCAAATGCGCTCACCTTTGCTGTGCAGGGCCTCTCTCGGAATCTCAATGTAGCTGTGTCCGTGGGCTGGGAATCTGTAGTGGGGGGCGCTCAGTGCTGGGGGAAGGACCTTGGCCACGGAGAAATCTGCAGGAGAAGTGGACACAGTAAAGTGGGGTCAGCAGGTTCACTGGCTGCAAGAAACAGACTGAAACCCTGTGTGTCACTGTCCTTCATTTCTTAAAGCAAGCCAACTCCCAGGGGAGAGGGATCGCCTCTAGAAAAGGCGACCCGGAACACATACATGCACATGCACACACACACACACATACACACACGTGTGTGTGCATCCACAGGTATATGAGTTAGGGTGAGAATTTCTGCAGGGGCTGAGTCCTCCAGCTACATCCTAAAGGAACTCCTACCTGGTGGGATCCCACCCCTCTGTACCCCTCTGGCTTTAAGCACTCAGCCTCATGTTAGCAATGATGCCAGACCCCATGGGAGGGAGACTGTGGCTATCTCAGCGCTGGGAGACCCTGTCAGAAAAGGGAAAATTAAAACACATGTGTGGAGGGAGTGCCTTGGCAGACAGGTAGCTCCAAAAGTTCCCTCTGGGGGCAGATGAGCCCCTGGGCCATGGTGGGGCACTGTGTGATGCCCCTGCACTGAAGTGTCCTCAGACAGAAACTCAAAGCGAAGAATTTATGCCTGTCTCTGGGGGACCTGACATATCCCAGGTAAACCAGGCTGCTTCCTCTGAGATGTCCCATTCTGGCCTTCACCCAGACTCACATTCTGGGCTCCTCTCCTCCCGCTCCAACAGCCTTCTTCACCCACTCCTTATCTCCAAGGCAGAGAGCATCTCATTGGATACTTAAGGACCCAGAGGCTCATGGGAGTTGGAGTCCCCATTCCGTTTGAGCCCAGCCGACTGTCATGGGACCCCTGCAGCTCCACACTGCATGACTGCTTACACCATCCTGTGTGCGTACCATGACCCAGCACTTCTTAGCCTCATTCTAACACATTTTTCTTCAAAAACGGGATTTTGCACAAGGTGCTGGACCTCAGAGAAATGGTGGTTGATCTCAGCGGCTGCATGAGCCTCAGACAGCGTGAAGGCCAGTGGTCCACACTCCTGGCACTCCCCTTCCCACGACCCCCACTGCCCCCATTCTGACAATGGCTACCTGCCATGGAGGAAGAGCCTGTGAGGATGACATGGGGTTCTCTGGACTGCAGGTTGGATGATATGTGACCCATGACAGTATCGATGGTGTCGACCAGGCCCAGCGTCACAGCATTGTCCTGGAAGCAACACAGATGTGAAACTCTGAGGACTGCCACACTCAGCATCACATGAAATCGGCACATCATGAACTCGGAGCTTCATCACTTTCCCATGATGGCCATAAGAAAGAGAACCACCCAAATGCCCCACTTCAAAGTCTGGGAGGTGACCAGGCACCTGATGAGTTCACGGAGCATGGACACAAGTCAAAGCTGACCAATGTCATAGCATTAGTGCCTGAGTGGCCAAAGGGCTCGGACTCCTGTTTGTAGCTCTGCTATGACCTCTTCGAGGACCTGGGCAAGTCTTAGGTCTGCCCATGCCTCTGTCTTATAGCTAATGGTCCCGAGTCCCCTGAGGCATGAGGACAGCAGCAATTCTTTTCCCTTCACAATGAAGCGGCAGCCTCTTTGGAGGTACCAGCCTCCGAATTCTGTCTGGCCTCCTTGACTCCCATGCAATGGCCCTCTTCACCTATTCTGCATCTTTAAGGCAGAAAGGACACCACTGGATTCTATCTACAGGAAGACGGGTTCCTTCTAGCTGCACAGACCTCTGCTGCCAAGTTGGGACCAGTGTCCATGTCAGGGTCCATGTCCACCTTGGCCTGACTGTCTTAGACCTCAGACACCATGGCAAAGAAGAACAGTTGTCTCCGCCCCCTACCCCATTCTGCCCCGCTCTGCTCCCCCTACCTCGCCCATCCCCTCCCATCCCTTTCTTAGACAGCATCTGTGCTGTTGGGCTCCCGGCACCCTCTCACAAACACTCCAGCAGGACTTACTGAGGCGGAACCAGATACACAGGCCAATTTTAGACATTGTCTCTTAAGCCCGTGGTCTGATTCCAATGAGAACGTCTGTGTCTTTGGCACATGGTTCT